GCTGTTTATCTAATAAACATAATACCCTCCTCAGCTCTTAGTTTCAAAACACCCATGGAGAAATGGTCTGGGCATCCTGCAAATTACAGTAACCTTAGGGTTTTTGGCTGCACTATTTTTGTTCATGAGAAAACTGATAAGTTACAACCAAGGGCTATTAGATGCATTTTCTTAGGATATCCTTATGGCATTAAAGATTACAAATGTTGCGATATTGGACGGAAAAAGTGCATTATTAGCAGAGATGTGAGGTTTAATGAGGATGAGTTGGGTGGATTGAGTCAGGAAGAAAGTGACAATGAAGATAGGACAAAGGTGTTTAATCTGGACCTAGGTGGAGAAGTTACAAATCTAAACAATCCTGTTTCAGATTCTCAAACCCAGGAGGATGAACCTAGCTTAGATGATAATGATGATAATGATGGTGATGGAAATGATTTACAAAATTATCAACTAGCTAGAGATAGAGAAAGAACAAAAATTAGACTACCTAGGAGGTACTCACATGCTGATATGGTAGCATTTGCTCTTCAAGTTGCTGAAGAGATTGATGAGGAACCTAGAACTGTTAAGGAAGCCATGAATAGTAAAGATTCCAGGGAATGGAAACTAGCCATGCAGGAAGAGTATGATTCTCTAATAAAAAATCAAACCTGGATTCTAGTTAACAAACCTGAAGGCAATAGGGTGGTTAAGTGCAAATGGGTTTTCAAAAGGAAAGATGGTATACCAAGGGTAGAAGCACCTAGGTTTAAAGCTAGGTTGGTAGTCAAAGGTTTCACACATGTTGAAGAAGTAGATTACAACGAAATTTTCTTACCAGTTGTGAGACATACCACTATCAGAATTCTCTTATCCTTGGTAGCTCAGTTTGATTTAGAATTAGAGCAATTAGACATCAAAACAACTTTCTTGAATGGTGATTTAGAAGAAAAAATTATGATGGAGCAGCCTGAGTTGTTTGAAAAGGGGTCTAAAAACCAAGTCTGTTTGTTGAAAAAATCTTTATATGGTTTAAAGCAGTCACCTACGCAGTGGTATAGGAAATTTGATTGTTTTATGATGAATGTTGGTTTCATTCGAAGTAGCTTTGATGGTTGTTTTTATTTTAAGTGTTTGTATGGTGAGTGCTACATTTATTTGGCCTTGTATGTGGATGATATGCTTTTAGCTTGTAAAGATCTTTCTGAAATTGCTAGATTCAAATGAGAGATGAGTAGACAATTTGAAATGAAAGATTTAGGGCAAGCTATGAAGATCCTAGGAATGAATATTTAAAGGGATAGAAAAAATGGAAAACTGATGTTGTCACAAAAACAATATGCTGGAAAAGTCATAAGGTAGTTTAACATGAGTAATTCCAAACCTGTTAAAACACCTTTAGGACAACATTTTAAACTCAGTACAGTACAATGCCCAGAAACAGAAGAAGAAAGGAAGGGAATGGCTTGCATCCCGTATGCAAATGCAATAGGGAGCTTGATATATTTGATGGTTTGTACCAGACCAGATTTAGCCTTTGCAGTTAGTTTTGTAAGTAGGTTTATGAGTAATCCTGGGAAGAATCATTGGGAAGTTGTAAACTGGGTGCTTAGGTATGTAAGGGGTACACTGGCCATTGGTATTGTTTACAGCAGGGGGCAAAATAAGGGGAATATCATTGTAGGATATGTAGATGCTGATTATGCAGGAAATGTAGACAATAGGAAATCCATGACTGGTTTCTGCTTTACTTTTTGGAATAATCTGGTTGGTTGGAAGGCTAACCTGCAGGCAATAGTTACTCTGTCAATTATGGAAGTAGAATATGTTGCTATTACAACGGCAGTCAAAGAAGCAATGTGGCTCAGGGGAATGCTTGATGAAATGGGATTGAACCAGCAGCAGGTTCCAATCAAGAGTGACGGCCAAAGTGTAATTTTTCTATGCAAAAATAAAGTTTTTCATGAGAGATCAAAACACATTGATGTCAGGTTGCATTTTATCAGAAATCTGATTGAAGATAAAGCCATTAAGGTGGAGAAGATTCCTGGAAGAGAAAACCCAGCAGATATGTTCACTAAGTCTATTATTTTGGACAAGTTAAGGCTCTTTAAGAGCCTTCTGCACATTGAAGAAAATTAGAAGAAGTTCTAAGGCAGTAAGGAAAGGCAATGATCAAATGCCAAGGTGGAGATTTGTTGTGATGTGGCAATTGACCTATGCCCATGTGGAAGTCAAATATAACTTAGGTAGTCAAAGTTATTATGTTAAAGACTAAGGGGCAATTCTGTCATATCTAGTCTTCAATAAACCTAATCCAAATTAGGTTTTGCTCATTCGATTTTCTCGAGCTTTTTTCTCTTGGTTAATAGAGAGAGAAAGTTTGTTATGAATCTCTGGATGCACTGGAAATCTGAAGAGCGTTGATAGAATTAAACGGTGGTGGTAGGCCTTAGTTGGATTTTTCCTTATGCTTTCACTTGTGTATAAATTTGTAACTAATGTTGGTTATTGTGTGTGGTGTATGAGAGGTGATGAGATCTGGGTTTTACAGAGGGGTTTTTCATCTGGGTTTTGCACTATGTAAAGGGTGAGCGTAAATCTCTGTAAGGTTCTCTATTCTCATAGTAAAGTCTTCTTATTGCCCTAAAGAGTGGATGTAGGTAATCTGTGTGATTACCGAACCACTATAAATCTTTGTGCCTTTCGCTTTTCAGCTTATTATCTGTTTTATTGCTTGTGATTTATCTTCTGTTTTGGATGTTGTATTGCTTTGGATTTTCGTTTTAGTCTCTTGTTTACAACAGTCTCAAGTTTTTTTTTTTTTTTATATACATATATGTTTTTTTAATGATACTATATGTACTGCAGTAATTCCCTAATTAGCCCCCGATTAAAATAAATATACACTTATTCCAAAATTGCCATCAATTATGGATTTTTTTTTAATAGAAAATCACTTTTTAACCTCTTCTTATACTATAATCTTTTTTTTATAAGTATTTTGATTGTTATATGGAAGAAAATCTACAACATGTTTACTCATTATAAGTGATGTTAGAATGAAAATAATGATAAAAGGAAAACCATTGAACCTCAAGGCAGTCTGCAAAAATGGAGGGAACAGATAATACTGAAGGCCAATTGGGCCATAAGTGGGCTGAAATTAGACATGAATGAGCCTCGTCTAAAAATCCAAATGGAAAAGAGAACTAAAGTAGGTCTAGGATGAGTTTACTTAACTTTGGTAATAATTTTCAAAGTTTTTTTTTTTTTTATTGCATAAATATAAATTATATGTTTTTCTTTCTTATTTTCTAAACATGAGTATTATTTTGTTACTTTTAAGCTTTTATTTTATATATATAGAGGAAATTATTGATAACATTTTTCGAAAATAATATATGGAATAATATTACCAATCAAAAAATTAATAATTTTCTTCCATAAAATGTCATAAATTAATACTTCAATCAATGATAGGTAATTTGCTGACACTATCAATGAGTCGTTATTCATTTCAATCAATGATATTAAGAGTTTATACATATATAGTCACCATTTCATCCATATACAAAAGAAAATGTAAATTATGAAAGATAGAATTTAAATGTCGCTTTTGGTTTTGGATGATTAAAAATCTATTTGCTATCCAATTTAATAATTTAAAAAAATTAGAAAGCAAAGCTTCCTTATAGTAGAAAATTTCAATATTTATAAATGTTCATAAAAATAGTATAAATTTACATTTATATGAAGTGGCACCATTGGAAAGATATGTCTCTTGAAAAAGAGAGAGGGAGAGGTGACAAACCAAATAAATAAATGTAAGGTTGGGATGGTTTAATTGTATGGAGAAAATATAGTGGTTAAGTTATCCCTTTCTTAATATTAATTAGAAGTTGTCAGTCCTTTCAATTAATTGATCATTCAAATCCTACACATATCAACATTGTTTTTACGAAGAACTATTTAATTGTTTTCATTTTCACCTTTTTATACCCTATTACATAAATGGGGGCCTCCCACTCTATGAGTCATCCTTTTTATAGTACCAGAATAATAGTTTAACCACATTCCACTCATTTTTTTATTGTAATGGGTGAAATTTATACTAACATTCCAGATGTGAAAGACAACCAAACATAAAATTTTAACCAAATTTTAGTGGGTATCCATTTTGATAATTGACAATTGATATTTTTTAGGGTTTTTTTAGGAGTTTAATTAGTTTATTTAATTAGAAATAGGGTAGGATGACAAATAGGTTAATCTTATTTATGATTTCTATGAGGTTTATTTTATTTGTTTTATCTTTCGGTAAATAATTGTATTTTTATAAATACATGTTTTGAAATAAGAGCAGTAGTGAGTAAATTATTTTAAAAAAAAAAAAAAAAAAAAGCATCAATATTTTACCAAAAGTCTTGTATTTCTTTTAAGAAATCTTATAGGTCTTAAATAAATAACTCCCTTTCAAAATTAATCCTAATTTTCCTAATGCAAATCCCAAATTAGAAAATTCCTTAAGGGTCTGCTTGAGAGTTTTTTTTCACTAGTTTTGAGGGGTTTTTAATTAGACTGGTTTTAAGGTGTTTAAACACCATTATTTACCAAATTTTTTATGGGCTGGTTTCGAATGATTTAAAAACCCCCCAAAACCAGTGTAATGTATTTTTGAGAGCTCTAGATACTTAAACATATTACTAAAGTTACATAATGTAAAAAATGTATATCCGTTAAATTAATAGAAAAATAAAATAACGAAATTGGGGTTATGTTTTAATTTCATGAAACATATGGGACTTTAATAATTTACTCCTCTCTGACAGGGATGAAGTTGGATGGCGTTACATTCTGATTTTAGTAAATCCAAAGTTATTCATTCAGCCTTAAAATCCAAGTTCTTCGTGTATTTGCCCCTATTTATCACGTGAAGATTAATACTGTAAAGTTTGAAAGTTAGATCAATAGAATTATTTCTTAGCTTCCAGAAGACTAATAATATAAAGTTTGAAAGTTAGATCAATAGAATTATTTCTTCATTTCTTGCAACGATGGCAACACTGAAAGCAAACCCCTCTTCCAAATGTTTCAAAATTTGTTTCCAAGTGCTTCTCCTACTTATTTTCTCTATCATTTTTGCTTCTGCAGGAAATGTCATCACCCATCTCCCTGGTTTTGATGGTGAACTTCCCTTCTACCTCGAAACTGGGTACTTTAATTACTGTATTCACGATTTCTGATAATTTTTATTAAACTTTAACGAGGGTCCTGAAGAGATGACTCTGTATCTAAAATAAAATAGATGTACGATTTTCTAAGTGATTTTTTTTTTTTTTCCTTTTAAGATATATTGGTGTTGGGGAATCGAATGAGTCGCAATTGTTTTACTACTTTGTGGAGTCACAGAGGAGTCCTTCACTTGATCCTCTTATGCTTTGGCTCACTGGTGGACCTGGTTGCTCCGCTCTCTCTGCTTTCTTCTATGAAAGTGGTAAGTTTTTATTGCTTTTATGCAAACCCTTTGAAGTGTTACTATTATTTTTTCTTTTTCTTTTTTTACACCTTTTTGTGGTCCAACAAAAAGTTGGAATTGTTTTTGTCCTCCATCTGTTCAGTTTTGTTAGACTTATACCTTTTGTTTTTTCATTTTGTGTGTGCGCACACTTTTTTGCCATGCTAACGTCGCACGTCTGACTCACTTTTGCACAATTTACGTTTTTATCTTTATCAGCTGAGATATTTTTTTGTCCATCTGTTGTGCTGTCATGAGGACGGTGTCTCAATATCCTCTTATGGTGAAATAAGTTTTTTCCTTTTTTGGTTGTGGTCCCAAAAGATAGATGTAATATTTTCTATTTTTTGGACCAACATATGTCAGCCCTTGTTTGTTGACTTAGCAAGAATTGGGGAGTATGAAATTGGTCTATATCTTCTTCATTCTTGCTCATTTGTAAAGCTAACATTTGATATTTTTATTTGCTTATGCTCTGAATTTTTCAGAGAGTTTTATTCCTCAAAGGTGAACGAAATAGAGACAGTAGTGAGAACAAAATAACAACAAAACAAATCACAGAAAGTAAACAAAGAGAAAATAACATGCGCAATTTACCCTGGTTTACCTAATCGAGTCAATATTATTGTAATACTTCATCACTTCTCTTGTTTACAATGAATGAATTGTCATATGATTTGCTATCATACTCATAACAAGAGAAAAATATGTTTATATACTAGGTTTAAGTGACAAAACCTAGTTTTACAAGGATTCATATTCCTAGCCTAACCCAATAAGAAATTAATAACTTAAAGAAATTCTTCAGCAGTTATACATGGAAAAGGCCCAAACTGCCTACGAGCCCGAGGGTGCTGCCCCCACGACCCCTGTTTGCTCATCGGGGAGCGGGGCCCCCAAACGCTGATCGGGCAGCAAGACCCCCGAATGCGTCTGCGTAACCTATCAATGCTGAAGTAGTCAACAACTCCAACAAAAGGTTCACTTTATGTTATTGTGCAGAACATTTATCATCCTTCATCTTTGTTAAGCTAAAAGGAAGTTCATCTTTTTCCTTGTTTGTTTTTCTTTTTGAACCTGAATATCTATTTCGTTGGTGCTCTAAACTTTTTAGAGAGTTGTTCTTGGTTAGGTTCTTTTTTTATGGGTTTATACTAGAAACTTTCTTGTTATCTTCATTGTTGAATGGCGGCTGGAACGTGGTTCATTTGCTAATGCTGGAGCGTGTCTTCAGCGATTGAAGCTTGGGTGGAGCTCAAGCGTTTTCCAAGAGTGAACCTGGTGTGAAGAAATCTGTGGTGCAACAAGACATTAGAGATTCAAAAGGTGGTATTTAGTGTAACTAGAAAATGGCGTTCTCTTTGCTATAGCTAAAATCAACTTTAAACTATATCTTATAATATTTGTTAATTAGTAGATTTACTTTGATCTGGATGAGGTTCCATGGATGTAGGCTAAAAATAGATTTAGTTAAACCATGTATATGCTGGTGTGCTTTACATTTATAGCTTAAATAATTTGTTGTAAACCTGACTATATTAACACAACTTGGTAAATTATTCTGCTGCGTCTTTAAAAATTAGTACCTAAACGTTAAATAGAGTTTACCAACTCTAACAAAAATTATTTTGTACTTATAAAAAGAGATAAGACAATTACGAAGTACTATTATGATTGATTTTCTTAGTTCAATTAAGAAAAATAATACACTTAGTAGTAGCCTGGAGGTTTTGTTTCTATTAAATAATAGTTTAATAATGAATGTTTAATTTATTAAAGCAACTCAGGATAAGTTATTAATGGGCCATATTTATGAAAATGACTGACATCTTCCCAAGTTTTATCTCCTATTTCTTTTAAATAATGGTTTGATAATAAAGTTAATTTTATGAGTGATGTTATTTAAGCCCCACCAATTTTCTTTGTAGGACCCAATAATAATTTTCATATTTAGGGAAAAGACCACCTTTCGCAAGTTTTTTTCTCAATCTGTTTGCAGGTCCAGTTGCTTTTAATTATTCTAATTACAATGGGAGTTTGCCATCACTCCAACTTAACCCTGATACATGGACTCAGGTACTAAAGAATAATTTTTTTTTTCTCTCTCTCTTCATGTTTCATTCTTGAGAGGTAATCATCTTTTTTTTTTTTTTCTTTTTTCAGGGCATCAACATTATATATGTAGATGCACCAGTTGGCACTGGTTTCTCTTACTCAACAACCCAAGAAAATTACTATCTTAATGATACAAAATCTGCCGCACAAACCTACGACTTCTTGAGAAAGGTATGTAAGGTTCTGTACATTTAACTGTCTTAATCTTTTTTAACATCCGAAGCTCAGTTCATGTATAAAATGTTACGTTAGAAGTTCAGCCAAAATATTTATTCTTACAAATTTAAAAGTTAGGGCCTGGATTTTAATTTGTCTTTTACAAATTCAACAAATACCATTCACTCAATGCTATTCACCACACAAATAATTCAACAATACCATTCACTCAACTCAGCGCTATTCACCGCTAACTATCATTTTTTTTTCCCAAGATACAATTTATTTATGAATATAGAGAATTGAAAATTAAAGAAACTAAAACTCAAAAGAATAAAAACAGTCTTTACTGATAAGTGATCCAAATTACAGAAATCAAGAATTCTCGACTGGAATGGATAGTTGTTTATTCATATTAATTGTTTTTCTGCAGTGGCTCCTTGAGCATCCACAGTTCTTAACAAATCAATTTTTCATTGGGGGCGATTCTTATTCTGGCATTTCTGTTCCAATGATAGTCCAACATATACTTGATGGTAAATATTTATTTTCCTGGTGACATATTCACTTATTTTTCCTTTTGTTTTTTCCTGAAAACTATAGCCTTTGTCATGTCTTGAAAGATTGATTAATTCATATTTCGATTTCCTGCAGGAAAGAACGAAGGATTTAAGCCAACCATAAACCTAAAAGTAATTTCCATCCTTTTTGTTTTCATTCTTTTTCTCGAAATTATATCCTATTATTTATACGCTCAAACACTAATACCTTTTGTGATATGTTCATCTCACTTAAGATATTCTTTTATAGTTAATGATTCTGACCTTGAAATTTCAAACTATTGAAAAGGATACTACTTGAAATCCAAAGACGGGATGATTATATTGACAGCAATTCATTGTACCATTTGCATTTGGAGTACACTCATACCACCTGAACTTATCATGTAAATATATATCTCCAATCTCTTTATAAATTTGTTTTCAATTTATATAGTTACACAAGCCAAATATTTTCAAAAACTATCATTTAATTTCCGGCTGCAAAATATTACTGCAATGGATTATGTCAACATAAATGAAAGCAATACTAATTGTGTAACAGCCTGATGAATTCGACCAGTCAGCAGAAAACTATCCTTTTAAAATCCATCACTGAGCTTGAGCCTATGAAATTGCCGATTTTAATTTTTTTTTTTTTTTTTTTTTCATTGTTTGATGCAGTGGTTCTTCAATAATACACTCTGATATTTTGGAACCACGTTGCTATCTGCTAAACCAAAAAAAGTAGTATGAAGGAAGAAGATCAGCTGAAAGATTGAGCCTGATGAATTCCCCTTTCAGAAATCAAATCGGAAATGCTTATTGGTGCAGGGTACGTAAATTCAGCTCTCTCATTATTTTGTAGATTTTTTTCACCACTTCCAGGATTAAGTTACATAAAAAGATCTGTGATTCAACTTTCTTTCAGGGGTATAATTATGGCTATCTGCCGTTTGGGCTAATGCTGAAATTGTCCGAGAAGCTCTCCATGTGAAAGTAATGCATTTATTTAATGTTTAGAGTGCAATTTTTTATACAGAAAAATCTTATGAAACGTGTTTATTATTAAATGAGTTTGAAATGTTTTCGAAAATAATTTTGGATAAAATCTAAAAACTAATTATCATTTAAAACACGACTCAATTTCTATACCTTTTTATCGAAGTCATTTTGAATATTATATCAAAAAATAATTTGATATTAAATATGAGCATTTTAATATTTATTTTGTCAAGTCATGTTCAATGCCGTTTGATTTTTCTCATGGGACTCAAAGAATATTTTAAATATAATGGCATATATGCATGACCTGACAAATTAATATGAAATCGTTTTGACTAAAGATTATTAACTAAAATAACAACACTCAATTTTCTGAATCGTATTTGAATTTTAAAAATTATTTTCGGATTAAAACAAATGGGTATGAAACAGGAACACAAAAGGAGTGTGGAAAATGTTGCATATTTCTGGCCTAGCTTATACACAGACTCAATTAAGTTGTGTTTTATCATAAAAATTTTACAAAGTCAGCCTTCGAGCTCTCTTTTCAGGTGACAACTCTTTAACTTCTTCAGCGTTTATTGTTTCCTTCAAGTCTTCTCACTTTAATAAATCTATCTTGATATTATTTAATCTATATTGAAAAAATGAATTACAAATTTCTTCTTCTTCTTCCCCATCATTTTTCATGGATTAACATTGTCACATTTTATGCAGTGGTGATCACGATTCCGTATTCCACACATTGCCACACAAACTTGGATTCGTTCTCTTAATTTGACTATAATGAAAATTGGCGAGCATGGGTTTGTAAGGGTCAAGTTGCCGGTAATCCGGCACAAAAGCTCTGATACGATACAATCTTGATATTTCTAACTATTGTTTCGTAATTGTATTTGGATTTTTATACTAATTATTATCATGGTCTCATGTATGCAGATCCACAGAGGATTAATTAGTAGTGACTTTACTCTTATATAGCTCAGTGAAGGTAAGGCTCAACTCAATCATATAATTAACTATGCTCTTCAAATGAATGTGCAACATATTTTAAAAGAAATTACCCCAATTGACTAGGATCTGGAAATAGTAAAAATAAGGGATATAGAAATTTAAGTAAATAAACGTGGTTATAATTATTTTTTTTCTAAAAAATAGTTTTATGCAATTTTAAATTTAGCCTAAACTTTAAAATGAAAAAATACATGTTCTCTTTGTTGTTCATTTTTTTTTTTTTTTTCAAATTAAAATGGCTTTTGTTACTATATCAAAACAAAAGCATATTAGAATATTAAACGACGAGAATAAATTCATATTTGTTATTCTGCATCATAACCTTTCAAAAAAAAAAAAAAAAAAAAAAAGATAATGAACCAAAACACTTATATTTGTATCGCTTCTAATTCCAGGGTGCTGGTCATATTGCTCCAGAGTACAAACCGAAAGAATGTTATAGAATGATGGATCGATTCATGGCGTATTACCCACTGTAATTTTTATTAGTTGCAGCTTAAGAATTTCGGTCACACTTTGAAGTATTTTAGGAATTATCATCTTTAGAAATAGAAGATATTAATGTGGATCCTTGAATTTGTTTTATAGGTAGGGAACCCAATTTAATGGGTTATGGGGCAACCCACTACAAACTACCTCAACCCAACCCACCATCCCATTTCTTGAATCCAATAGTGGGTGGACTAGGTAGGATATGCTTGGGTTATGGGTATACCCAAACCAACCCACTTTCAATGAATCTATTGCATTATTATTATTATGGATGTTTAATATTATTATCATAATATATTTTTAAATAATTAGTTTTGAACATAACTAATTAACTATCATTAATATTATTATAAGTAATTAAATATATATTTTTTATTACTTAAAATATTATTTCAAAATAATTATGTGATGTAATTAAAACTAAATTTATGACAAACAATTAATTTTACAATCACTTGATCTAGTTTTTGTTAATAAAATCAATAAAACTCTTTCAAAAATGTTGAGAGAAATATTTCTATATCATCCTCTCATTAAAATTAAGAGTGGTATATATTTTATAAAAAATTTTGATACAATGAATTTGAATTCTGTCCTTTTTAAAATGCATTAGATGTGTAAATTATATTAAATGTGCAAATCTCAATAGTTTAAAATATATTAATTTAATTACTAAAAGATTATCTTATAATTTGTTTATTCACAAGAGTTGTTCTAAAAATAAATTTTTTATTTAAAAAAAAGTGAAATTAATAATTAAATTAAGAGTTAAGTGATTAATGACGTGATATGTTGGAGTATATTGTGGGTGGGCCCTCAAATTTAAAAAAAAAAATATTTATATGTAATTTTTTTTTTTTATGACAATTTCAACTAAAAACATATAATATGAATATTATATATTATTACATTTTATTTTGGCCCACCCTAATAAGAATTTCTGGATCCACTATTGGTTGGAATAAAGTAGGTGGTCTCAAGTGTTTTTTTTTTTTTTTTTTTTTCTTTATGATACTGTATACACCCCCACTAATTCTCTAATTAGCCCCCGTTTATAATAAATATACATTTATTTCAAAATTACCGTCAATTATGGAATTTTATATATATAGAGAGAGAAAATCACTTTTTAACCCCATCTTATCATATGATGTTTACATTAGGATTAGTATTTTGATTTTTATATGGAAGAAAATCTACAACATGTTTACTCATTATAAGTGATGTTAGAACTTAGAATGATAAAAGGAAAATTATTGAGCCTTAAGGCTGAAGGCAGTCTGCAAAAATGGAGGAAACAGATAATACAGAAAGGCCAATTGGGCCATAAGTGGGCTGAAAAAAGAGAACATTTCTAAATACACTTACCCTTTTCTCTATGAATACACACTAAAGTAGGTCTAGGATGAGTTTGCTAAACTTTGGTAATAATTTTCAAGGTTTTTATTTTAATGCATAAATATAAATTATATGTTTTTCTTTCTTATTTTCAAACCATAAGCATTAATTTGTCCTTTTAAGTTTTTTATTATATATATATTTTATATACTCTATATAATAAATTTGATATACATTTTTCAAAAAAAATATAGGGATACTATTGCCTTTTGAAAAATTAATCAATTTCTCCTATATAATGTTCCATCAACCTTATTATGGCTTTATTCTAAATATATATAGGCTTAAAATTTACTCTAATTTTACGTTAGATGAAAATTATTTACAACTATTTTGTACTAGTAAATCAGATGATAAGTTTGTTCATGAGCATAACTTTGGAATATTAAATATTAAACTATATTACGATTTACACAACACAAAAAACAATTATTATAATCTTATTAGTACTTTGTTGCACTATCCAGAGTCGTTTTATTCATTTCAATTATGATATTAACGAGTGCCTGCACATGACGGAATGTTAAATTGTCGCTTGATGATAAAGATCTATTTGCTACCATTTAATGATTACAAAAAATTAGAAGAAGTCTACAGGCTTCCTTATATCGAGAAATTTCATATTGTTGCACAATGTTCATAACAATATATAATTTGCTTTAGATAAGGTGACACCATTGGGAAAGTATGTCCTTGAAAAGAGGAATTCGAGGTGAACAAAACCACCCTTTGGCTAAGTGGTTGAATATTGGCTCTAAGTATTACTTCCGACGGTTTTAAATTCGCATTCCGCTTCGTTATAATAGGGAGTTACCATAAATGTTTAAACCCTTACTCAACTTTAAAGACATTGAGATTAGTTGAGGTGATGCGTTCAAAAGTTGCCTGGATACCTCTGCCGCATAAAAAAAAACAAAAAAAAAAAGGACGAGGTGTGAAAACCAACAATAATAAACCGTGTAAGGTTGGGATAGTTTTAATTGTATGGAGAAATATAGTGGCTAATTATATCCCTTCATCAAAAGTTATTAGAGTTTAAGTTCCTTTGCACTTGACTTGACATCCCATAAACATACCGACACCTGTCAACATTGGTTTCTGTACCACTATTTACTTGTTTTTAAATTTCGCCACTTCTAATCTTACATAAATGGAGGCCTCCTACCGCCTCTGAACGTCTCATCGTTTTTATAGTATGGTCATAATTATCTTTAACATGCACTTGGTTGACTGCTATTATCTATATTTTAATTCAAAAATATTTGGTGTAAAAATCTTGATTTTCTTTTTTTAAAACTTGAATCAAGTGGAATAAAGTATCTTGTGTAAAACATATATTCACAGACAAAATTTAATCAAATCTCTAATTCAATCAAAATGTTGTACATAATTACTTGAACAGATAAATTTTAACACCCAAATTTCTTACATGAAGTATACAAACAACTTGTCGTTTAAATAGATTTCTATATGAAAAAGTATTGGTCCGGATTTTATAAAAATCCAACCTCGCACAAGAGAATGACTCTTCTAATATACATGTATATATATCAACTACATAAATTTTAATTCATTTATATTTTCTTAGTATATTTTTGGCACCAGCCGAATACATGCCATTGGCAAGTTGGTAAAGAACAACCTACCCCCCATACTTCCGCCTAACATCCCTAATTATTCCCCTTAAGTCAAATCCCCAAATTAAAAACTTCTTGAAGAGCTTTGATACTTATAGATAATATTCGAACTCAAAAGCTAGCTGTTATGTTTGACTTAATAAACCTACCCAAAACCAACGTAAGTATAGTAGTAACTTATCACATCTTCTAAACCACACAAGGAAGTTCTTAATAATGAATGAATACATTCAATTAATTTTGATGTGTCCTAAAAGTCTATTCATAAGTTAAACAAACTTCACTAACCCATTAGAGACAAGTTGTTTAAACATTAAATAAATTACAAAGCCTCATTGTTCCACTAACCCATAAATTGGCATCATGCGAATAATCTTATTAATTAATTTCATTATGGTATATTAATGTATCTTCGTTTTGTTTGGAGCAATGCAATGGTTAATTTGTCCGA